TTTTGATGTGTTGCTGTATTCCGATTGCTAATATTTTGTTGAGGATTTCTGCATCTATGTTCATCAGAGATATTGGCCTGTAGTTTTCTTTTTTTTTGTTGTATCTTTGTCTGGTGTTGGTATCGATGTGATGCTGCTCTCATAGAATGAGTTTGGGAGAGTGGCCTCTGTTTCAGTTTTTTGGAATAGTTTGAAGAGAATTGGTATTAATTCCTCTTTAAACGTTTGATAGAATTCAGCAGTAAAGCCATCCACGTTTGATAGAATTCAGCAGTAAAGCCATCCAGTCCTGGGCTGGATGTCTCGCAACATTACTGAAATTATTAATTTCAGTTTTTTTGTTTCTTTGTTGGAAGATTGCTGATTACGCTTCACTCTCGTTGCTTGTTTTTGGTCTGTTCAGGTTTTCTATTTCTTCTTGGTAGTTTGTATGTGTCCATGGTGGATCACACAACAGGGACTGAAAGGCCCATTCCAAGGTCTTCAGTTAACCTTGCATCTGAGCCGGTGTGATAGTGGGCCCTCCCCACAGGGGCAGACTCTTGTTAACAAAGACTGTTGATAAAGCCAGATTGTCATGTTATTAAATTACAATGAAAAACACACTTTGATATTTTGTTAGTAGTAGATCTGCTCTCTCTGGGCAACTGGTTCCTGACATTGGATGCACATTTGGATTACTTGGGGAGCTTGACCAACTCCTAATGTGTAGGTTTGACCCTGGAACAATGAAATGAAGATCTCCTTGGTGGGTCCCAGGCATCAGTATTTTTAAACTCTCCCCAGGTGATGCCAACGTGCATGCAAGATTGCAAACCACTGCTCTAGTAATATCTATATAAGAAGTCAAATTGCAATCAAATGAACAATTTGTAATCAAATTAGATTTTATCGCTTAGTCCACAAATCTTTATATAGGTATTTGTTATATGCTAGATAAGCATTAGTAGAAGCTAGTACACTTTGGTGGTTATTGAAATAGGCCCTAAGATGAGAGAGCCCCGTTCAAGTCCTGGTTCCACCACTTACTAGTGTGTGACTTAGCTTCTCTAAGCTTGAATTTCTCTGCTGGTAAAATGGAGGTGCTAATAAGAATAAGTCCCTACTTCAGGGGCTTGCTTGAGAATTACGTCAGATTATGCAGTGTTTCCCAAATTTCAAAAAACCGTTTTTTTTCTTAGCTATACCCATGTACCATGTGTACTACTGTTTACTTAACATTTTGTTTACTAGCTCACTTTTTTTTCTTAAATACCTCCTTTAGCCTTACTCCAAGTGAAATCATCTATGAAATACCTAGTTTGATGGAGTAGCTATAGTTTTTCCTAACCCACAGTAAAAGATATAATTTTAAAAATAAATGACCTCTGTATGCCACCTGAAAGTGTCTCATACTAGTGGGGGACATATCTTTGGGAAACAAGTATAGGAATTCCTCCTTATCCACTATTTGGCTTTCTGTGGCTTCAGTCATCTGCAGCCAACCATGGTCTGAAAATAGGTGAGTACAGTACAGTAAGCTATTTTGAAAGAGACAGAGAGAGAGAGAGAAAGAGAGAGAGACCACATCCACAAACCTTTTACTATAGTATATTGCTATAATTTTTCTATTTTATTATTAGTTATTGTTAATTTCTTATTGTGCCTAATTTGTAAATTAAACTTTGCCAGAGATATGTATAGATAGGAAAAAACATAGTACATATAGAGTTCGGTACTATACTTGGTTTCAGGAATCCACTGGGGGTGCTAGAACATATCCCCTGTGGATAAGAGGGGACAACTGTACTACCTAGGACATACATGGCTTGCACCTAGAAAGCACCTAGATAATGGTAGTTATTTTCATTACTTAGACGTTACCTGTAGCTAAAATAGCTTGAGGAACTCTTCCTTGCTAAGGAAACCAGAATAACTTTGTTCTTTATATCCAGAATAGGGTTAGCTCCTCAATTCTTTTTTCTTTTTCTTTTTTTTTTACATATCCAGTTTGTCTAGAAGCTTCTCATCCTGAATGTTCCAGTAAGTCTAGTTTGAGTTTTGCATACATCCCTCCTATCTCAGGTGCCTAGGTGTATCTACATATCCAGTTTGTCTAGAAGCTTCTCAATTCTGAATCTTCCAGTAAGTCTAGTTTGAGTTTTGCATACATCCCTCCTATCTCAGGTGCCTAGGTGTATCTCTGTTTGTGCTATTTCCCAGTTGAACATTCTGAGGGCAATTACATTTCCTTTATTTTCAAGTTCTGGGTGGGGTATTTGCTGTCACATATCACCTGTTCCCCTTGGTTGCTATGGCCCTTTGTACCCTCTGCTGCCACAGGAACTTAGCACAATTTTCAATGGTTGTTTGTTGCTTCACTCCCCTATCATACTGGACTTTTCAAGAACAGATAAGGGGGGGGGGTGTCTTTTTCATTTTGGTACCCCCAGCACTTTGCACAATAACTGTTTATTGAATACATGAGTAAGTGAATGCAAGAACATCACAGTGCCCTTCACTAGTTCTCGGTTATGACAGTGGTCTTCCAGAATCCCCACTACAATAATCATCATGGATTCATGTTTAGCAAATGCTTGGTCATTGATTCATTTTGTGCAAGAACAAACATAAGCTCTTAGGTTTCTTGTCAGTCTAGGTTCAATGACAGTTTATTCTATTTGGCAGCATCTTATCCCCTTAACTATTGGCACAACCACTGTTGGTCCCTTCTTATTCTCTTTTCCCATAAACTTTCTGTACAGTTCCTACTCCTGAAAGAAAATTGGTGGAGTTAACGTGCTTTTTGCTTTATGTTTCTTTTACTCATTTTTCTTGTTTATTCCCATCTTGTCTCACAAAGGACTTTCAAAGGTTAGTAATTTGTTCTATGGGAAATTAGTAGAACATCTATGCTAGATTCAGGGCAGTGCAAAACAGTGCTGTTAACATTGCCTTCTAATTTAGGATGAACAAGTCCCAATACTGTGGTAAAATTTTCTATTTGTGATACTTGGAAACTAACAGGTTTGGCTAGGCAAGAAAAATCAGGGGAATCATTGATACTCAAAGCTTTTCTGAGACTCTTTGTATCGAATCAACAGCTGGCTTCAAAAGTAAGTCTACAACCTACTTTGCATCCCCAAACTTTGGTTAACCTCTTCATGTCATTAAAAGCATTTCTTATTTTATACATTTTTCTGGACTGGGTCAGCCCTTGCAACAAAAAGCGAAGTCTGGGAGAATATTTAATGCCTTCTGAGAAGTAGTTTTTGTGTATAGAAAAGGGTTTTAGAGTTAGTCCGGGATTCCAAACCCAGCTCCACCACCTAAAGCTGCAAGACCTAGTATTAGTCACTCCACCTCTCTGAGCTTCAGTTTTCCTATATGTGAAATGTGGATTATAGTTCCTTCCTCCCAGGGCTGTGATAAGGATTAAATGAGATAAGGAGTTTGATAAAAAAAGGGGAGCAGGCTTGATAAATAGTAGCTATCATTATTGTCCCAGGAACAAGAAGCAAATTATGTCTGGGAGAAAAATGTGTGCTAAGCAGATCTGTAGCTTTGGTTTTGTACTGATGGGCATGTGCATGTGAGTTTGTGTGTGTGATAACGCATATTCAGTTCTATCTAATGTAGGGATTAGAGGACTACAGTAAGGACTGCTTTCCCCCTTTAATGTTTTTACATATATAAATAGAACACGCACATACATATACACACAATTAAATCATTATAAAACAACATCCATATTATTACCACCCAGGTTAAAATAGATCCTAGCAGCACCCTGATACCCTGAAAGGCCTCCATCCCAACCCCAGGTAGCTACTATCCTGACTTTTACTTTCTTTATGGTTTTACCATCTGTATGTACACTCCCCCAAACAATATCGCTTTGTTTTGTTCACTTTTGAAATTTATATTAATGGAATCATACTTTATTGTCTTGCGTCCTTCACTAGGCATTGTTTGGAGACTCATTATGTCATTGTGGTAGTTTATTCCTTTTCATTGCTGTATGAAAACACTGCAATATAAAATTTTATCCTTTGTACTGCTGATGGACATTTAGGTTGCTTTCAGTTTTTGTCATTATGTTGTACAACACTATTCTGCATTGTTTATCCTTGTACATGTCTCCTGTGTACATAATTAGGAACTTCCCTAAGATATAGAAACTACTCCTAGGAGTAGTCATAGAATGCACAAATCTTCAGTGTTAGCAAATACAGTAGTGCCAACTCTTTTTCAAAGATTGTACTAACTTGTACTCCCATCAGCTATGTATGAGTGTGTGTAGCTCCACATCTTTGCAAACAAGATTTTTTTTCTAACCCGAGTGTAATTGTCTCTCATTGTTCTTTTATTTTTCATATTTCCTGATTATGAATGAGGTTGAGCACGTTTTCATACATTTGTTGGACATTTGGATTTCCTCCTTGGTGAAGTGCCTGTTTAAGTATCTTGCCTTTCATTTATTTAAAACTTCCTTTCAGAAGGTCTGACTGACCTTCACCAACTCATTGCCGGACAGACAGACCGGAAATGTAGTAATCCAGGCAGGTTGAAGTTCAAGCTCATTTGCTGCCTTAGCTATAGCAGAACCGGTTGGTTTCCCAAAGTAACAAGTACTTCTACTTCAGCCATGTGAGAGGGACAAGAAGACCAGGCAGAGTGGCTGGGGTTCTGAGAGCAGGGGACAGCGCCCAGGCGACCTCTCCAGGGATCCTAGGCAAACAGACACGTCCCCAAACACTGCATCCTGCTTAACCGCCAATTTCAAACTCCCAAGATCTGCCCTGCCGGGTTTGCCCTTTCCCTTTTTCCCATTGGTCGCGAGTCCAGGGAAGAAACAATTTGACTGGCTCTCCCCATTCACTTCCTCCGTCCCTTTAAGGACTTAGGCGGGGTCTAGCTGAGACGCAACTGTCCATTATAGAAGCTGGCACTCTGATTGGCCCAGCCAAGGCTGAGTCGCGCCCACGCCGTTCCCCGGTTCAAACCCAGCGGCGGGAGGCGCAGGGCGGAGCAGAGCGCAGACTGGCCGGGTCCGCTGAGCGTGAGTCTGATCTCCCACCTCCTGTACGCCCCCACCCCGCTCTGCAAGGCCTGGGGAAGGGCCGCATCCACACACAGCAATCCCAGCTTTCCCTCCCGCAGCGGGGAGGCGGCGATTCCACACTCGGGGCTGCGGGGGCCGGGAGGGTCTTCCCCTGCTGGCGGTGCGCGCGCCCACCCTCCCCCGGAACGGAAGGGTTTGCGGGCTGGTGCCTGGGGCAGGACGACTTGTTATCTCTTAAACGGGGTGGAGTCCTACGTGTGTGCGGCCTTGCCTCCTGTCAGCATGACCTGCGTTACTCTCTCTAGTGGAGTCAGTCCGTCAGCTCCTTATTCTCTGTGTGACCTTAGCGATTTACTTAACCTCTCTGCTTCAGTGTCTTCATACGCTCGGTGCCCACCCCGTCATCTCCTTCCACACCCCCCCACTCTTTTACTCTGCTCCATCCCCTCTGGCCTCCCTGCTGTTGTTGGAGAGGCCACGTCCTGCCTCAGGACCATTGCCCTGGCTGGTCCGTCTGCTACGGATACGTTTCTTTCCCCAGGTATCACCGAGGATTGCTTGTCACCCCCTTCAGGCCTTGGTTCAAATGTTACCTTCTCAGTGAGGTGTACTCTGACTACACTGTTAAAAATTGCACCACTTCCTCTGCTCTGCCCCAGTTGGCCTTACCTTGCTCGATTTCTCTCTCTCTCTCTTTTTTGGCACCCGGCCCGTTTGGGGATCCGAACCCCAGATCTTGGTGTTTTAAGGCTGAGCTCTAACCAACTGAGCTAACAGGCCAGCCCTCAATATTTTTAAAACCCCATAACACTTATCACCTCGCAACACACTGGGGACAAAAATCCCTGCCCTTATGGCGCTTACATTCTAAGGTTGTCACATAATAAACACAATTATAAGTAAGAGAATGTGTCAGATAAGTGTATCACCTGCTGTTACAGTGAGTTAAAATCTGGTTTTTAATCTCCGTGGTCAGACTGAGCTTCCTAAGACTGGGATGGTGGCTGATTTTACCTCCCTATCCCTGACATCTTGAGTGAGATCAGGATCTCTCACGCCTTTCCTGCCCAAAATATTAGTACCTACTTGACCTTTTCTGATTTCCATTTAGAACCAGTGGGGAGATGTTGAAGTTCAAGTATGGAGCACGGAATCCACTGGATGCTGGTGCTGCTGAACCTATTGCCAGCCGGGCCTCCAGGCTGAATCTTTTCTTCCAGGTAACAGGCTGCCTTGCCAAGTTTGCTCACCTGTGTTGGTCTCCTTGGAACCTCCTTGTCACTCACCTTTGCTCTTATTATAGGACTGAAGCTGATATTCTAGGAGAAATATTATTTGGTGTTTTATATGTACCGATTGTATTGGAAAAAGGAGTTCCTTGCAAACAGGAGTAGATAGATAGCTGAACTTGCCCTTGAAGGGAGATCTTTTTATATTTCTCACACTTTACACTTCTGTACTAAAGTTTGTGATTTAATTAGCAGCACTTAAACCACAATTTCTGTAGGTGTAATCCTATTTATTTTTCATTAAAGGGATGTTTACTTTGTAGATTTTTTAAAAAACAGTTTAGATAAATACCACACCTGTGTGACTCACATCCCTCTCAAGCTATACAACATATTCATCACCCCAGAAGTGTTAAAACTTAATTATTTCCAAGTAGATTTCTAATTTTTTTGTTTCTGAAGTATATGGAACACTGGTGAAGCAGGAATCCTTGTTTGATTTATGTTGCAAGTCAAGGAGACAATGTAGATAGTGATGATGATTTAAGTTTGAATCTTGGCCCTAGCACTCGTTAGCTGTGTTACTCTGGGTGAGTTAATTACCTTCTCTGAATCCATTTGCTACTCTTTAAAGTAGGGGTTATGGTACCTAATTCACAGGGTTGTAGTGAGGATTAAATGAGATAATCCATATGAAGTACTTAGCACATTGCCTGGTTCTTGGTAAGCCCTTTATAAATCATAACTATTGTTAATACTAAAAATAGAAAAGTATTAGTTATAATCATAATAAATTCCTTTTTAATTAACAATAATTACATTTAGGAAGGTATTTATGTAGGATACCTGTATGCTGATCAATAGTAATGTGTTCTTGATAACATTTTTTTCAAAATACAGGTATTGGGGAATATTCAAACAGATCAGAGTAGAAACAAATTGAAAGCTTAGGTTGTTCTGTCCCCATAACCATTTGAAGTCATGACATATTTTTTTTTTTTGAATAGTCTGCCTCTAACCTTAGA